CGCTTGGTGACTACAAGGCAGCTGGGCTGGGGGGGAGGGTTCCTGGGAAAACCAGGTAGTGGGGCTGGAATTCAGGACCCCGCAGGTGGTGCTCGGCACTCCAGAGCCGCCCACCTGTCCCAGGAGCGGGGGCGTGTGTGTGTGGGGGGGGTGGCGGTGCCCTCCGTCCCCTCGTCCCCTCGTGCGGTGGGTCACACTGCACCCCGGCCCCTGCCCCGCAGCCGGAGGACGAGGACGAGGAGCCCGCGCTGGAGGAGCTGGAGCAGCGCGAGGTGCTGGTGCTGGGGCTGGACGGCGTGGGGAAGAGCACGTTCCTGCGCGTGCTGTCGGGGAAGCCGCCGCTCGAGGGCCACGTCCCCACCTGGGGCTTCAACTCCGTGCGGCTGCCCACCAAGGACTTCGAGGTGGACCTGCTAGAGAGTGAGCACGCACCCCACCCTGTCTCCCTGTCACCTCTGCCAGACCAGGCCTGGGTTCGTTACTGGGGAGGGGGCTCCAAGTGGCGGTCTGCTCCGGACACTCGCCACTCCCTCGTGTGAAACCCGGACACCGGACACCCACCGCCAAGCTCTGTTCTGGTCCTTGGAGACCAGGCAGCCAGCTGGGTCCCCTGCCAGGCCCACTGGCCTCAGAGATACTGACTTGCAGCCCAGCACCACAGGCATTGCGAAACGGGCTTTCCAGGAACTCATAAAACCAGAAGTGGTTGCTTCCCTCAGTACATTCTTGAGGAAACTGAGACCCATTTGTGGAAGGCCACCCAGCTTTCCAGTCTTCTAATACAGGCTGTTCAGTCCCTTGGGTGGCTGTCAGAATATCAGAGACTAGTGATTTATACTTTTCTTTTTTTAGAGGAAGATTTTCACTATAGGGTACATGCACTTGCCAGAGAGACAGAAAGCAAGAAATCACCCCTTGGGGGGATGGCCACACTGTAGTCCCTTGGCCTCCATTCTCCTCTTGCGATTTTGGGCATACATGCACACAGGCCCAGTGTGTTTTAAGCCGCCAGGTCTGGGACTTGAACCACAGTATACTGTGTGGGAGTCCAGCAATGTAACTGTCACGCCATCTGCTGGCTGTGATTTATATTTTAGAGAAGAGGTTTATTTGGCTTGTGATCCTGGTGGTTGGCAAGTTCTGAGGTGTGGGGCCAATATCTGGCTGGCTCTGAATGCTACATTCTAACAGGGCCCAGAGGAGTGGAAGGAGAGGGTGTGTGAGGGATAGGGCTCCCGCAGATGGCCAGCTCGCTCTCTGAGCTCGGGGATGAAAACTCCCCTTCCCCCGTGTCCCCAACACCTGCTAGGCCCCACCCCCTAGAACTTCTCAGTGGGGCCCTCAGGCAGCAGGGCTGTGGCTCTAGGCCTGCCCTCTAGGCCTGCCGTGATCAGTGCGATTCTCATCTCTGGAGGGCACTTCCTGTCCTCTCTCATTTCCTGCCCTTTGCCTGCGCCCTTCCCTCGGTCTGGAAAGCCCTTCTCCCCTGGAGAAACTTAGCTACCCTTCCTTCAAGGCTGGGTTCAGACGTATGTCCCTGTGCCTTCCCTGACTCCTCTGGCCCCCCTTCTGCTGCAGTGTTTGCCACACCAGCCTGGTTTCTGACCAGGCCATTGGCACAGACTGGTCTGCTGCATCTCTGGCCCTGAGGGCCCAGCCCCAAGGAAGTACCTAGGAGAGCTTGCCGAGGGAGTGTCCAGGTGGGGTCTCGGGAGCTCCCTGCCCCCCGTCCCAGACTTCTGGGGGCTTGGGAAGAAGGTGGTGGAATGGGTATTGAGAGGCAGCAGGACTTAGCTGCCCGAGTCTGGCACCAGCTGTGGGGAGGGGCAGGTGGCCTTCCAGCCGAAGACCACAGACAGACAGACAGCCAACTAGGTGGTGAGAACAGACTGAGGGCCTGACTGTCAGCCTGAATGGGCTCCGTTCCTCAGGTCTAGGGCCCTGGCCCGGCCGTCATTCCCTCCTGGTTGAACCAAACGTAGATACCCACCTGGGATTCCGGGCCTTCCGACAAGCTTGCTCTGGCTCCTTTTCTTGTGCCAGGGGCACAGGTCAAGTGGGAGGTCCACCCTGAGGCTTCCGTCTGGCAGACGGGACCCTCATCCCTGTGGGCGAGGGAATGGATGAGGGTCTGCAGGTAACAGTTGACGTTCAGTAGGGTCACTCGGCCTGGGTTCAAACGCAGACCTCCCAGTTAGGTCCTGGACTTTCCTCTCCCACGTCCTCCCTGGTCTGCAAAGCCCAGCCTGGAGCCCCTCTGAGAACGGCCCTGTGTGGGTAATCACAACCGTGAGAACGAGTTCAGCACTGGTGGATTCCCCGCCAGCCCCTCAGTCCAGTCTTTTAGCTACTCGGCCAGCGGGTCCTCCCATGGACTCTGCTTGCCCACTTCCCACCTGCACTGGCCTCTTCCGACCGTGGCAGGTGCAGCCTCCTTACCGGTCTTCTGCTTCTGCGCCTGTCTTCCAGGTCAGCCTTACTAATAGCAGTGGGTCTTTCAGAAACCTCGCCAGATCATGTTACTCCTGCCCAGAACTTAGGGCCCCCCACGGCCTCTCCAGCATGGCCAGCCCTGTGGTCTGCTCCTCCCAGCCTCCTCTCCCTCTGGTGGCGTCCTAGCCACTCCAGTCTTCAGTTTCTCAAACACTCTGATATTACTCCTCCCTCCGCCTGTAATTCTTTTCTTTGGCCTCTTCCCCTGGTCAGCTCCTTCCCATCACCCCAGACTTGACTCACATGAAGAGACCTTCCCAGCCTGTGCACTGTGGGACCCACCCCAGCCCAGCCCAGCCCAGCCTCTTCCTCCTGTCCTGTTTGCTGTGTTACCACTGTGCTCATGGCCGAGCTGGGTTGGGAGGGAGCTCTGAGAGCAGGAGCCCTGCAGCCTTGCTCTCCTCTGTGTCCCAGCACCTGGGAAGCACTCAGTTACCACTCGTTGAGTGCCTGATCTGTGCCAAGCACTGTGCTGGGGGCTTTGGTGGGGTCCAGAGGTAAGTCCTGTACCCCTCCGAGCATAGAGTCCTCAAGTGTCAGAAGCATAACCAGAGGGCCAGCAGGTAGTGTGGTGGGTGAGGTCCTGGATTCTCACAGGGTCAACCACAGTTTGAGTCCTGGACCAGGTAACTTGAAAATCACAACAAACAAATCCATAAACACAGAGGTAAATGTTTTTAAAAAAAGCATAACCAGCACCACTTGGGTGCAGCGTGGCCGATGGGGCTGTGTGAGAAGGTGGCCCGGTGGGGTGCTGCGTGGATAGCCGAGCACTGGTGGGATGTGGGGCAGTATCTCTGTAGAAGAGAGTGGATGGCAAGGCTGGGTGGGAGAGGCTGAGTGGAGGATGGCCGTGTGTGGCAGGGCAGGGGGTCCTGACTTCCAGACTCTGGGACTCCTGGCTGCTGTCGCAGCCGTTGCTGACCAGGGGAAGCTGGGAAACGGCAGGGGCAGGGCAGCCCAGAGAGAGGCCAGATGGGCACCATTTATGGAGCAGCTAGGGGCCAGGCCTGGGGAAGGCACACTGCCTGTGGCACCTTGGGTTTTGTTGCAACCTGAAGGGGAGTTCAGTGAGGAGGGACTGTGTTTGAAGGTAGTGACAGTCCCTGAAGGCCTGGCTGTCAAAGCCAGAGCTAAGCCAGGGCCTGATTGGCTCAGGAGCCTGTGGCCTTTTCTTTACCCCGGCTAGTATGCCTTGGAGAGCCGGAAGAGGGTGGGGTTGGGGACACGGCTAGAGGGCCCGGGCAGGGAGGTTCTGAGCTGCCCTGGCCTCTCCGTAGTCGGTGGCAGCCAGAACCTGCGCTTCTACTGGAAGGAGTTCGTGAACGAGGTGGACGTGCTGGTGTTCGTGGTGGACTCTGCCGACCGGCCACGGCTGCCCTGGGCCCGTCAGGAGCTACACAAGCTGCTAGACAAGGACCCTGACCTACCTGTCGTCGTGGTGGCCAACAAGCAGGTACGGGCTGTGGAGCTGAGTTCAGGCCACTCTGCCTTCTGCCCACAGGCCTGGGCAGGCAGTGCCCCGGGGGCTCAGGGCCTGGCCCAGCCTGGGGAACCAGCCAAGACGCTCTCCCGGCCTCTTCTACGTGCGTGGTTTCTGCACCTCTGCTCTGTCTTCTCTCCTCGTGACCGCCTGGTCATCTGCTGCCCTCGAGAGAGGAGAGAACAGTTCCACACCTGCTACAGGCCCAGCATGGTTCTGAACGGTGTGTCTTACTACACTGAGGGGGGTGCTGTTCCACCATTCCCTTACAGCTGAGGGATCTGAAGCTCAGAGATGTGTTGTCAATCCCCACAAGGTCGTACACCTTGAGAGTAGTGGAACTGGGATGTTGGCCTCAAAGCTGCCTCTCCCACTCAGCCATGCCCTGGACCTGGCTCTAGACCACAGAGCCAAAGCCGAAAGAGAAGTTAGATAGTAATTGTAACTAACAGTCGCTGTGCGCCAGGGGTGGTGCAAGCCCCTGGCGGACATGCCCTCACATCCTGGGGTCCCACACAGGCCGTGACAGGTCCCTGGACGCTCAGGTTAGAGCTCATATTAAGCCAAGACGTAACTCAGATCCTGCTCTTTTTTTAGTTTGTTTTTCTCATGGAGACACAGAGCCCCTGAATGGGTCTTCACACTGCTCCCCACAGCCGGGGCACACCGGCACGTTGAGGTGGACCGGGACACCGGCCCGGAGCCTTCCCACGCGGTACCCAGCATCGGACCACTGTGGCTGGGCCCAGGATTCTTGCTCTTAACCCTCGCTGTACCTGTCCTGGTGCCATAGAGCAGTCTAGGGTCCAGCGACCCTTAGTGTCACAGAACATAGGTGCCATTCTCTGTGCAGGTTGAGCATCCCTAACGTGAAATCCGAGATGCTCTAAAATCTGAAACTCGTAGAGGCCCAGCGTGACACACAAGTTTAAAGTTCTGCACCTGACCCCACGTGATGGGTCACAGTTCAAACACCGCAGCACCGAAACTGCATTTCCTTCAGGCTGGGCATGGGTGTGTATGAGACACGGGAGTTCCATGTTTAGTCCTGGGCCCCCAAGTTATCTTGTCATGTGCGTGCAAATATTCTAAGATCCCCAAAACCTCAGAAGGTTTTGGATGATGGATGCCAGCCTCACAGACGGAGCCCCGGCCGACCTCCCACGCCTGTGGCCCTCATCCATGCCGGCTGCAGGACATGACTCCAGCCGGCTCAGGGAGACGCTCTGTCTTTGACCTCAGATTCCCCGTCGGTCAGGAAGTCCCTGACAATCACTTATACAGAGACCCTATGTCCTAATCTGCCTGAGACAGTCCCCATTTGTGTCCGTTCTGGTGTAAATATTGACACCCACCTTCCCCAGAAGTGCCCCTGTTTAGACAATGAATTACACTGTTTTCCTGTTCACAGACTACTATAATTTATAGCATTATAATTTGAACCTGCAGGTCCCAGCATGCTATGAATCGCTCCAAGAATAATTTTAATCTTGGACAAGGCTTGAAATTAAAATAGGCCATCCCAGCAGCGCTGTGTAGTGGTTTCTTTTTTCCCCTCGGGCTAGTTTCTAGGGGTCTCGTCTGGGAGTGGCCTTGCTGTAAGATCTCTCCACTGCGGAGTTTGAGAACCGAGCCAGGATTTCTGTAAGGGTCCAAAGCTAGCTTAGCAAACCAGCCCAAGTTGGGAACCAACCCTGGGGCTCATCACTGTCGCCATGGCTACGTGTGGTCTCCCTGAGCCAAGCTCTCATCTGCTGAGTGGGGACCATGAGGACGAGTAGGCTGGTCTGTCATGACTGTCACGTGCTGGGTGTGGGAGTACACAGAAGAGTCAGAGATGAGGGAGAGCACCGAGTTTAGACCATGGGGTCCTGAGGTCCAGAGGCTGCTTCTGGGCACTCTGGCCCTGCTGCTCCCTAGGCAGCAGGGGGCAGTCTACTCACAGAAGATCAGGGTGGGCAGTGCTGTCAGCTGTGTTCTGACGTATCTCTGCTTCACCGCAGGACCTGAGCGAGGCCATGAGTGTGGTGGAGCTGCAGCAGGAGCTGGGCCTGCAGGCCCTGGATAGCCAGCGGGAGGTTTTTCTCTTGGGTGCCAGCATTGCCCCCGCAGGCCCTGGCTCTGCAGAACCCGGCACCGTGCACATCTGGAAGCTGCTCCTGGAACTTCTCTCCTAGGTCAGAGCACGCCTGAACTCGCCCAGCTGGAGACCACAGTCCAGCTGCTCCAATTCTTCCTTGCCAGCCAGGCCGGGTACAGGAGCCACAGGGCAGCATTTCCTCACCTCTTAGCACAGTGGCCGAGAGGCCGTGCAAAGAGTTGAGTACGCAGAAGAGTCAGATGAGGGAGAGCACCGAGTTTAGGCCCTCCCGAGGACAGGGCCTGGGCAAGGCCAAAAGCCAGGCATAAGCCTTCCTAGTGAGGCAGAGGGTGGGAGAGTAAGGACAGGACCTGGCTCACTCCATCTGTACCCGCACAGCGCCCTGCAGGTCGCGGTGGGTGGGAAGTATTCCCAGAGCCTCGGCTGTCCCAGTCTGGACTGTTCCCTCCTGGTGACGTCATGCCTTGTTCCCAGTCTTGCATTTCACGCCAACCCCAGTTCTGCTTGCTGGTCTGTGGCCTTGTGCAGCCTCTGCCTCTGGCCCCCACGGACATCATTTTTAAAAGGAGGTGATTTTTGTGTTTTTTCCCCCTAACCTGGAGGTGCATTTCCCAGCCATGGAGATTCAAAGGGCCAGAATAAACCTGGAGGTCCTAGCAAGCAGCCTTCTGAAGACTCCTGCTTACCATGCCAAGGCCTGGCCTCCCAACCTCTCCTGTCTAAAGAGTAAGCGGCATTCACTCACCAGATGGAAGCAAAGCTGGTCGTTCCCCTAACCCGGGGACACGCACTGCTCTTGTTATCAACACTAACTGCCACGCTCATGTTTACACAAGTCTGGGGAAGGAAGGAGCCCTTGGTCCCTGGGAAGAAGACTGTCACCCAGAACTGGGTGTTGGTCAAAGAACTGTATTTTATTTATTTATTTATTCACTTATAAAAGGAACAGGCCAGAGTTCCAGGTTCTGTTTCTAGGTGCTGTTACCAAAACCCCAGGTGGCTGCTGTGGACTGAGCAGAACTTGGAGGATGACGGCTGGAATCATGAGGAGCAGATGACCTGATGTCATGGACACGAATCTGCAGCTTCCCGCACACACTGCGGGCCTTGGGCTGTCCTCATCATACTTCACACTGACTCGCGTGAGCCTGAACACCACGTGGCCCTGTGCTGAAGGGACGCAGACCCCTTCCGGGTAGGTAACGAATGCCTCTGCTAAAGGACATGTCCACCGCGTGATTCCAGAGAAAAAACGAAGCGTGTTTCCATCTTTGATGCCTAAGGACAGAAACACAGACTGCCGACAGGGTGCCTGTGGGCGCAGCACTCAGCCTCTCTGGGCCCACCTAGCCCCAGGGAGAGGAGGGCTGGCTGCACTCAGGGTCGCCCGCGCATGCTCCGAGCTGCTCCCATGCGCAGTGGTCAGCCAGTCTCGCTGACACTTGGTGCAGGCCCCAGCCGGCAGCCGACAGCGACAGCCACACGTACACTTTCTGTTTGTAGAGGAGCAGGCTGACTCAGTTTGCTTTCTGGTCGAAGACAATGATCGTGTGCCTTCATTTCAGTTGACATTTACCCAGCATGCTTCAGTCCTACGCTGTGCCAGCCCCAGAACAGGCACCCGGAGGTCCGGAGGTGAGTGTGCTCGCGGGAAGAGCAGCTCGCAGCCATGTCAGGGGCCACGCGGTGCCTCAGAACAGAATCGCTGTTTTCTTTCTGCAGGAAGAAGTGATTTATCTGCTTTTCTGTTAAATATTTAAGCAATGATCTCAGTTTTAGAGTAGCCTTTGGAAGTTTGCTGGCATCTTTCATTTGTCACTGGACGTGAAAATTTTTACTCCCCTGTCTGTGAACTCTGCCTGGTTCTCCTGGGCTTCACGGTGACCCTTGGAGCCAGCATTTACATTGAAAGTACCCTTTTTCCCCAGTTAGGATCTGCCTTTGTCTAATGAATATCATTGTGTAATAGAACTTTTTAAATCCCCACTGAGGGGAGGCCAACTTAAAAAATAAAAGTTTCACTATGTCTACTTGAGCTGGTTTGAGCTGGCTGCATCACGACCCGGGAAACTTCAGGTCCCAGTGGCCCTGCAGGCCGAGCGCCATCCCGACACTTGTACAAGATAGAGGTGCTCTTGGGGCCTGCGAGTGGGGCCGACAGCCGCGCTCCTCTGCAAGGCCTGTGGCCCAAGGCGTGCTTCTCCATTCTGTTTCCACGGCTATGCAGGGTGAGGTAGGGAACAGGCCGCCTTCAGAACACCCAACCGCCTGACCTGTGGCGCTCTTACCCAGCTGCTCCCAAGTAGGACTTGGACACAGCACCCCAAATCACCCACTGTTGGGAACTAGCCTGTCACTGCAGATACTCATTTCAGAGCGAAGTCCCTGATCTAACCCGGTGACACTGTGTACCCCCACTGTCCCAGCTCAACAGCTGCTGACCTCACTGAGCTTGGGAGCACAGGGCTGTGTCAGGACAGCTCTCACGTCCTGACACACTGGAGGAGGGCCGGGTCTGAGAGCAGGCAGCCGTGGCCACACCGAGCACCCGCTCCGCACTCTGAAGGGAAGCTGCTGTCTGCTTCCCCAGGCCCAGAGCGCTCACCTGCACTGAGTTTGTTCCCAAGAGCTATTTGAGTTAAACCACGGCTTCTGGTTTTCCACCGTCTGAGCGTTGCCATCCCTCAGAGGCCACCCTGGCCCACAGCGTGGAAATTTGGATGGTTGGGGCAAGAGGGCTCTTGAGGCTGCTGGGACCGTCTCAGACTGGCTGCCCACCTCAAGAAGCCACCTCTCATGCCCAGACTGCAGGCTGTAACTCGTGCCGCCATGGCGCTCAGCCGCAAGATCTGGGGAGGTAGCGGGTCAGCCCATCACAGCGCCACAGCGGTCTTAGTGCTAATGGAGGGCAGACACCACTCGCCCCTCTGCCTGAATGGAACACCCAGTCTCCAGAAAACGTGGCCAGTTGCCTCTGGAGAACATTTTGTTTTCACGCTAGTGTAGGAAGAAAGCCTGCATTTTGAACCGGCTGCTGAAACCCACCGTGATGTCCATCCTCGGACAGCGACAGCCACCCTGGACCGCAGGCCGAGGCCACACTGCCGTCTGTTGCCTCTCCTCAGGGTGGAGATTCTAAATGGTTCCCTAGTGCTGTGGAAGCTTTTTCTGGAAGATGGAACCATTAAGGGACGAGGGAGGACTTCCACCAAAATTCCGGAAGTGAAGGAGCCTCGCTGTCTCAGCCCGTGCTCCGGGCACCCAGGCCCACAGGGCTGTCAAGGACAAACGGCCGAAGAGGACCATCAGTGGCTCGAGGGCCACAGTAATGCCAACACCAACACCCACGTGGCTTTGACCAGATTCTCACTTGGAGGCCAGCGTGCTGAGCACATGCAGTCCTGGTGAGGGTGGTCCCAGAACGCCTCCTGTCACCCCTTGTCACACAGCAAGTCCCAGTCCCAGCTCCTCGTTACATGTAGGGTCAGGGTGGGATGGAGACACCAGCTTTGGCCTAACTCCACACCTCATGAGGTATCCAAACCCTGCCCTTACCCGTTGGGAGCTCTGGCTGGTGGGGCCAACACTGGGTGACGGAGAGCCTTTTCCCACTCCACAGGCGTCCCCCCAGCAGCTAGGCCATCTGGGTTCCCAGGCAGAGTCCCTGTTCTTAGGCTCTGGCTGGGATGTCAAGCAAGTCAGAGGCAGTTAGGGCCCAGGGGTCATTACTGCTACAGGCAATCTGGGAGGCGGGGATTATGGGATACACATGGCTTAGGGTACAGGACTGTCGCAGAGAAGCCCTTCTAAAGTTTAGCCCAGCTAAAGGCCTGGATTTGGAATACTGGAGGTAAACTGAGGGGGCTGAACTGCAGGCTGTGTACTCGCCCGTTCCGTGTCTGCAGGACCAAGCCAGTAACGGGGCCAGGGCTCTTCCTGGCCGCCTTGCTCCAGGGAGCCAGTCCCAGCAGCTCCCACAGAAGGGTGAGTGGACCACTGCATGGGAGCCGGGCAGAAAGCATGCAGGGAAAGCCTGTGCCCACAGGCGTGAGCACGCACAGGCTGCCAGGCCAGATGGCCTCCACCCCGGCAGAGCCCAGGGCTTGGCTGGGAGGAACAGAGACAAAGCCATTAGAGAGAAACAAAATATCCTTTTATTATGTACAGACTGTATTGGAATAAACCACCCACTCTGAAAACAGCAGGTCTGGCTTTTTCATGAGACTCCAGAAAAATGCAACCAGAGCCTCTGAGACACGGTTCCTTCCCCACGGTGGGGTGAGTGTGTGTGTACATGTGTGTGTGAGAGACCTGATCCCATGGGGTTAGGCCAGCCTCATCTGAAGCCACACACGTCTCCTCGCGTTAAACCCTGGCTCCGGCTTCACTGGCCCAAGAGGCCTCAGATGGGCCTGTGTGAACCAGTCACTCAACCTCCATCTTATTCTTCTGCAAAGAATCCATGAACTCTTGCCACTGCGCTGGGTAGAAACGTTTATAGACGTTGATCTTATTCCGAATTTGTTTTGGGGTGTCTTGATAGTAATTCTTCTCATCCCGGGCCATAGCCTAAGAGAGAAGAAAGGCTACTTGAGGGCTAGACAGGCAGGTTCAGGCCCTACTAGTGTTTGAACTGGCCAAGCCACATCCTTCCTGCCCCGTCCAGACTGCCACCTCAGAAGCCATGGCTTAGAGAGGCTGAAGCAACGTGGAGGAGACGGGAGTGACTTGAGAGTGCCGTCACCACCATGAGCCTCAACAAGCCCAAGAGTGAGCTGACTCCAGAGGAGCTGCAGAAGCGGGCAGAGGAATTTAACACGGGTCCACTCTCTGCTCACGCAGTCAGTCAAGAACACCACCCAAGAGCTCATCAACCACCACAACAACAAACTCCTGGGCCGAGTGAAGGCCTTTGACAGGCACTGCAACATGTTGCTGGAGAACATGAAGGAGATGTGGACTGAGGTTCCCAAGAGTGGCAAGGGCAAGAAGTCCAAGCCAGTCAACAAGGACCGCTACATCTACAAGATGTTTCTGCATGGGGACTCAGTCATCGTGGTCCTGCAGAACCTACTCATCGCTGGCAAACACAGCCTCTTCCCCACTGTCAGAAAGCACTCCCTGTCCTGCCAAGACCTGTTGTTTGTAATGGGAATAAAAAAATTCTGTGTTTTTCTAAAAAAAAAAGCCATGGCTTATGTGGAGCCCTTCTGAACTGGGGGTGGGAAAGTGAGTGCAAATGCCCTTCAGGACAAGGCAGGCCCGAGAGTCCAGCGAGTCGGCTCACAAAGGAGCTCATACTCCACCCAGAGTAAAGTCATCCCACCGGGACATAAACCACATCTTCCCTTTTCAAAAGAAGCCAAAAATATGAACCTTTATTAGAATCCTCCTATAACTAAAATGGCAACTAGTGCAAGTTCCTTAAAAATATCCAGCTGGGGGCCAGCAGATAGTGTAGAGGTTATGTTGCTAGACTCCCACATAGCCAACTACAGTTCGAGTCCCAGACCCAGAGGCTTGAAACTCACACCGGTGCATGTGCGTGCATGCCTAATATCCCAGGAGAACGGAGGGAAGGGATTGAGGCATGGCCATCCTCCTGAGGGGTGATTTCTCACTTTCCTTCTCACTGACTGTGTCTTTCCAGCAAGTGCACGCACCCTAAGGCAAAAACCTCTACAAAAAAATAAATAAATAAATAAAAATACCCTGCAAGTGAGCCACTGGATCCCACATGGCTGACAGCGGTTTGCGTCTCGGACCCAGTGGCTTGAAAATCACACTAGACTTGTGTGTACACGTGCCCAAAATCCCAAGAGGAGACTGAAGAAGGGATTCCAGTGTAGCCATCCCCACAGGGGGTGACTGATTTCTCACTTTGTCTCTGTATCTCTCTGGTAAGCACACATACTCTATAGCAAAACTTAAAAAAAAAAATCCTGTACAAACAAAACAGCACACCCGTGAGTGGGGCAGGACCCACAGGCGGGTCAGGCTCTCTCTGCTCAATAGCTGTCAAGTCATCTGTTTCTTAGTCTCTTTTCCTCCCATTCCTTCCCCTCAGTCTCAGGAAACAGGTGCTAGGTGATCACGCCACCAACGTCCGAGGTACCTTCCCGCTGGCCAGGGCTCTCCCCACCAGGCCCGACCACCCACCTTATAGTCCTCCCCATGGTTCTCCACCATGTAGCGGACGTAGTCGATGAGGTCCCGAGACAGCGTGTTCCCTTTCTTCTCTGGGAGGCTGGCTTCTGCCTCGAGTTCTGGGGTGAAAGAAGCCAGGAGAAGGGGAATGAGGTTTGCCCACACTTAGAGTGGTCCAGTTACCCTTCACTGAACACTCCCCCAACACCACCAACACCTGGTAGCCTTTGCCTCCCGGTTTGCCTCCTGGTTCTCAGGTCAGGGCCGGAACCATTTCTCTTCAGCCCTGATCCCAAGCTCTACCGCCTATAACCCAATCACTTAAAAGCGTGGCAACTGTGAAAGGGAAGTCAGTTCTTTCCAGGCCTCAGGTGTGTGTAAAAGGAAGGCCCCAACACTCTACTTTGTGCCAGGTCCTAAAGAGAGAGGAAGACACACTGCCTACCCATGGGGCAGGGCTCCCTTCCAGCTTTAAGACTCCCAGAGAACCTCCCCATTGAACGCCAGGACTAGGGCCTACAGCCAGGCCCATGCACCTCACTGCTCCATGTGAGAGAAATGCAGGCTCTGGAACCACTGATTTATTCTTTTTAGGCTTCACTTTTTTTTTTTGGAGAGATTTTTGCTATAGGGCGCGTGCGCTCGCCAGACAGACAGAGAGAGACATAGAGACAGCGAGAAATCACCCCCCAGGGGGGATGGTGACACCGCAATCCCTTCTCCTCCATTCTCCTCTTGGGATCTTGGGCATGCACGCACACGTGCCCGGCGTGAGTTTTAAGCCACCGGGTCCAGGACGCGAACCACGATCGACTATGAGGGAGTCCAGCGACATAGCCATTATGCTAACTGCTGGTTCCCTAGGCTTCACTTTTAAAACAGCTAGGCGGGGCTGGCCATGGCGCACACACTCACCATTTAGCACATAAGGCTTCCGCACAAGCTCTTTAGGCCTCTCCGGCACATCTACCTCCATGGCTTTCACCTGCAGAGAACAGAAGTGATGAGACCAGGAGACAAAGGCAGCACCCTTGATGAAGGCAAGTTCTAGAGGCCTCTGCCTACCCGACACAACTACCCCAAAACCCCTGCCCCAGGTCAGGCAGAGCTAGGTAACAAGGAGAACCAATGCCCAGGAGGCTTTGACAGCTAGAATCCACAACACCCAAAATATAAGCAATTCAGGGCCGGCAGATGGCATGATGGTTAAGGTGCTGGACTCCCACATAGCAGACCATGGTTCGCATCCCAGACCTGGCTGCTTGCTTTCTCACTTTCTCTCTCACTCTGTCCTTCTCTGGTCAAATTAAAATAAAGTTAAGTAATTCTTTTAAAAAAAAAGAAATACAAGCCATTCGTCTTTCTGTGCCTATCTATAAAACGGGTTTAACAGCCCTTGCCTTCCTCACTTGGTTGTGTAACAGTAACGTCAGGCACATGAGAGTTCTTTGTTGGGGCCAGCAGGTGGTGAAGGCGCTGGACTCACATATGGCTGGCCACAGTGAGCCCCAGCCCTGGCAGCTTGCTTTGTAACCTTTCCTCTCTGGTGAGTGCACGTGCCCTATAGCAAATTTAAAATAATGGTAATAAAGTAATTCTTATTTTTTAAAAAAAGTGCTTTGTCATTTAGTGAGGGAGAAAGGGTGGACATCTTCATTCTGAAAAGCCACCTGTCAGTGCTGGACCGTGACTTCACATTTATTCAAGAAACAGTAGTGCCATTTTCCTCCGGCAAGAAAAAACTAAAAGGCAATGAGACTCACCCAGCAAGCCCACCATTAGGTAAACTTTATTGAGCACTAATCATATCCGAAGTACCCTGGGGGTTAGTGGAGAACAAAACACAAGGTCCTTGTCACCACAGAGACCATGTTGGAGGGAAGAAGCACAGACAATGAATAGATAAGCAAGTAAAGAAATACCTAATACTATGAATTAAAGCAGGGAAGAGGTTACTGCGTGAAGGGTGATCTAGAAAGATTTATTCAGGAAGAACTAGCCCGGGGGGAAGACTCAGACCAAGGATGTTTGGATGAGTGGTGGAAGGAGCAAGAAACAGTAAATAAAGATCCCAAACTCTAATGAGTCCTTGGTAGGAAAGGTAAGGGCAAAAAAAAAGGTAAGTTAAGGAAAATATTGAGATGCCAAGGGACCTAGACAGGTACGATTCAAGGAAAACAAGCGGAGGAAAAGGTGAGCTCCAGCCCAAGTCCAAATGTGTGCTGCGGAGGGAGTGCGAGGGGGTCGGAAAGGGACCCCTAAACGCCGGTCGGAGGCTGAGAGGGCTGACAATAGGGAGATCGCGTCCCGGGGAAGGGAGACAGGGCGGTAATGCGCAGGGCCAAGTTCTGAAACCCAGCAAGTGTGAGTCGGAGGAGAATAAGGGGTAAGGGCCCGGGCCCTGCCACGCCGGTACCTTTCTCTTACGGAGGGGCACCGCCTTGTTGGGGTCCATAGCCAGCCCCATGTCGGCCAGGTTCTGCCGCACGGATTTAGCGTGGTCCCAGGCATGTCGGATGTGAGAGCTACGGGAGAAGAGAGAGATCGCGGATCCACCATCTCGCGGCCTTCCCGCCGAGGCCCCCTGCCTCCCGCAGGCAGGCCTCCTCACCACTCGATCCGCGGCGCGGCCTTCCGTCGAGCATTCCGGTTTAGACGCTTTCGGTTGACGTTGTAACCGAACTTCTGCCTCCGGGTCTTGCCCTTGGCCTTGGGCATCTCGCCGACCGCGGCACCAGCAGCTCACACAGGGCGCCCCTCACTTCCAGCACCGCGTGTAAGACTCCTTCTGGCAGCCGCGCGCACGGTTTGCAGGCGCTCTTGGGAAATGTAGTCTTTTCGTAGCGCTGCCGGGCTGATTACTACGACTCCCAGAATGCAACGAGCGTGTGCGCCTGCGTACAACGCCCAGAGTAGCCCTTTCCCCGCCCCCTTTATTACCTAACAGGGGGCGGAGCTTAGCGTCCCGACTTTTTTTCCTACCACAGTAGCTCAGGTCATGGCGACTCCTAACTCTGTGACTCCGGAGGCGCCCTTTGAACCATCGCGGCCCCCAGTCATTGAGGGCTTCAGCCCGAGTGTCTACAGCCATCCAGAAGGCTTCAAGGAGAAGTTCCTTCGTAAGACCCGCGAGAACCCAATGGTACCCTTAGGTAAGTGGCTGCTATGGGAACTGTAGACGGGAGGGCAGTGATGTCGGGGGAATGAAATAAAAGAGGACCGAGGACGCAGGAGGACCGGAATGAGGATGGACCGGAGATGTGACGGAGGGGTGGAGCGGTGAGGGGTGAAGCTGATTGGAGCCAGGGCAACGACCGTGTTTGGGGGCGGGGTTGGCGAGGCTGGGAGGGGGCGGGCCCTGGAACGCCGCGCACTGCTCCTAGACCAGCAGCACCCTCAACTGTCGCGAGGTCTTGGCCCTAGGGAAGGGAGGGCCGAAGCCGGGAGGGGCCTGCTGGGCTGCAGCGCTCCCAGCTGCCTTGTCCCTCCCCAGGCTGCCTGGGCACAGTGGCTGCCCTCACCTACGGCCTCTACTGCTTTCACCGGGGCCACAGCCAGCGCTCCCAGCTCATGATGCGCACCCGGATCGCCGCCCAAGGCTTCACGATCACGGCCATATTGGTGGGGCTAGCTGCCTCTGCCCTGAAGG